GCTCCTGTATTTGTGAAGGGAAAATGTTATTATTAATTTTTTTACAAATTTATGATCAGAAGAGAACCTAAATGTCAAATAGTTGAATATAGCTTACCTTTCAATATGCTCTAATTATGGCACAATTGTAATTATCTTAACATGTGAGACAAGTTATATTATGGGTAAATTACACTCACCTCCCCTTGAGGTTTCTACAATTATAAGGGTTTTCCTTATAGTTTCAATAATTACAAAAACTTCCCTTACTTTTTTCAACATTATCAAGATTCCATCTTTTCATTAATTTAAGTCAAACAGTGTTAACTTGGTTGTACAAATAACCATAATACCCTTTACACTTAATACCTTTTAATTGTAATTTACCTATATATTAAATTATCATTTTATTTCTTACAATTTTTTTTTTTTTTTTGTATTTCCTTGACTTTGTATTTTTTTTTTCCACTATAAATTTTGAACTTTTATAAGTTAAAAAATAAAAATAAAAATCAACCAATTAATGAAATTAAGAAAGAATATCCATATTTCTTATTTGAATTAATTTTGAGATTTAATTTAATAAAAATAATTTAAAGGGTTATTTTTTGATAAATTCTCTTTTTAAGTGTTTTATTTCATTTAACTTATATTCTTTTTTAGTATTCCATTAAATCTTGTTTAATATAATATGACCAAATCATCATTTCTAATTTTTTGCATATATTTCTATTTTGAAACTAATACATAACAATAGTCCCTCGTTTTATGAGGAAAAAAAATATCTCATTCATTCTAAAGAAAAAATCTTTCCATTATTTCATGGAGAAAATCTCTCTTGCATTCTATGGAGAAAATCTCAAATTATGAATTTTAAACTTTTTTATAATTTGAAAATTTTAAAAATAGTGCAATAAAAAATCTAAATGAAAATTAAAATATAAGGTGAATATTCACGGAAAACAACAAATATACAACTAACTTTTGAAAAAAAAAAACATATACTAAAGTATAATTTGAATGTTACAATAAATAACAAACATATAACTAACTTTTGAAAAAATAAAATTCATACCAAAATATAATGTGAATGTTCACAATTTATAATTAACATACTACTAACTTTAAAAAAAAAATAACTCATACCAATGTAAACATTTACATTGCAACATGAAAACATAAAACAAAATTGAAAAAAAGTGAAAATCAGTATTTCAATTGTTTGATGGTAACAAAAATGATTGTTCAACTAACAAGCATAGTAACAAAAACAATAAACATACAATTAACTTTCGAAAAAATAAAAATTATACTAAAATACAATGTGAATGTTCACAATTTACAATTAATATATAACTAGTTTTAAAAAAAATAAAATAAATTTATACCAATGTGAACATTCATACTACAACATGGAAACATAAAATAAAATTAAAAAAAATGTGAAAATCGACTACTTTAACTGTTCGATGATAGCAAAAATTATTGTTCAACCAACAAGTATAGTAAAAAAATAATAAACTATAACTAACTTTTGAAAAAAATAAAAAATAAAATAAAAAACTCATACCTAAATATAATGTGAATGTTTACAATTTACAATTAACATACAACTAATCTTAGAAAAACTAAATTTATACCAATGTGAACATTCATATTGCAGCATGCAACAAAATTGAAAGAAAAAAAATGACTGTTTCAATTGTTTAATGGTAACAAAAATGATTGTTTAAACAACAAGTATAATAACAAATAACCAATGATATGTAAGCATTCATATCTTGCAAATATATATAATTATGTCCATATCTATATTCCATCACTTATTTCTCAGACTTTCAAATAATGTGAAATGTGAATATTCACACTAATTGACAAAAAAATGGAAACAATGGCAACAATAGAATTAGAAATCCGCAAAAAACTTAATTATTCTAAAAAAAAAAAATATATCACTCAAATCTTTATCTTCATCATCACCTTTATTATTATCACTATCATTAACAATCTATGTAGTTTACCATTCCACCAATCTAATCCAAATCAAATCAAACCAAACCAAACCAAACTTACCTCTGAAGAATATGTTTGTAACAAAAATGACTAGATATAAACAGAGCTTTGATTTACAATAATGGAGAAACATAGAGTTTCGAACACAGAGCAACAATGGATGAACATAGAATGTCAAGCACAAAGTGACAAAGGAGGAACACAAAACTTCACCGCAACAATGAAGGAATATAATATTATTTCAGCATCATGTGTAAACTAGAGTTTCTAAACCCTACCAAATAGAGAGTTTCGAAACCTTAGCACAATGAAACAATATCACAAATATGAATGGAATTAATCAAAAAGAAAAACGTTAATAACGGTAACTACCAAAATAGAAGTATCAACAAAAAGGAAATGTGCATATCATTTTTCTATGTAATACATATCAACAGTAGACACAAGGGTATAATAGTCTAAAAAAAATATAAATCAAGAAAAAATGACTTCATGGAATAAAAGTATAAATACATGAGACTAATTAGGTTATAATTTTTCTTAATAGACTTATTAGGTTAAAACACCTCCAAATGAGATTTTTCAATAAAAAAACCCTTATTGATGGAGATATAGATTTTAAATGTAATAAATAACAAATTATTTAAGTATTTTATTATTTTCAAAAAATTTATTTCATCAAGTAAAATCCTATTTTAATTAGATGTAAGAAATGACAAATTTAAATAGTTTATTATTCTCAAATCATTTTTTTTATCTTTCATTCCCTACATCTAATTTTAATTTATTGTAACGTGATTAGATATTTTCACTTTTATATTTATTTTTAAAAATTTTATTATTAAGGTGAAAAATATTGACTTATTTTTTCAATGATAATTAAAATTTGAGAATAATATAGGATTGTGAAAGATAAAATGATAATATTTTTTTTAATATATTTATGGGGTAACATTTGGTAATTTTTATAAGTCAAATTTTTTTAAAATTATAAATATGAAATGTTATTATATTTATTTTTCTTAAAAAAAAATTTAATACACAAGTATGTTTACCAAACAAAAGAAAAATTAATGTTTCGTAAGTTGCTATGATATTGGGTGATACTAGCAAACATTGATGAAAGAGAAAAAAAATTGAGGAAAAAGAATAGAGAAGAAAACAAATAATAATAATAAATTATAGGGCAAATTACACAAATAGTCCTTATAGTTTGAGGCTTGTAACACTTTGGTCCCTGACTTTTCAATTGTGACACATTTGATCCTGAATTTTGAATCTTGTTTCAAATAAGGACAATTGAATATATAATTAGATTTTTCAAGGGTAAAATTGTCAATTTGATAAAATATAAACTAATTTGAATAAAATAAATGTCAAACAAATATTTTTAAATTTTTTAAAATTATTTCTACCTACTAAAAATAAAATTATGTAAAATTGATAAATATTTTAGATATTTATTTATTTATTTTTACCAAATTAATTTTTATTATGTGTTTGGATGATGATCATGTAAAATTAATTTTAAAAATTTAATCATATAATTTTTATTAATTTTACATAATTTTATCACTGGTGGATAAAAATAATTTTTAAAAATATTTTTTTGACATTTATTTTTGTCAAATTAGTTTATATTTTATCAAATTGACGATTTTACCCTTGAAAAATCTAATGATATTTTCAATTGTCCTTATTTGGAACAAGATTCAAAATTCAGGGTCAAATGTGTCACAATTGAAAAGTCAAGGACCAAAGTGACACAAGTCCCAAAATATAGGGACTATTAGTGTAATTAACCCTAAATTATATGGTGTTGCTATTTGCTACGGTGACACTTTCTCCAAATATATATTTTTCATATATTTTTCATATGGAAGAAATAAATATATATGGAAAGAGAGGGACAATTTCTCCAAATATATATTTTTCATATGGAAGAAATAAATATATATGGAAAGAAAGGGACAATTTCTCCAAATATATATTTTTCATATGGAAAAAAATAATTAAATACCGATATGTATTTTTAAATTTTTATTCAAACTATAATTTCTCAAAATAATTATTTATAAAATTAAACATCTTTTATAATTTGTTTAGTAATTTTCAAATAAATGATTATATTTAATCTAGTATAAGGTTTAATGGTGATCAATTTATTAGCTCTTTTTTTTTTCTTTTTTTTTTTATAGATAAGGCAATGTTTGGTTATTCTACTATATATGCTTGTCTCAACAATGTAGAATTTTTTAAAATATTCTATAGAATTTAATAATTTTGTTTAACATTATTAAAATAATGTATGAGTCTTTATTAATTTTTTATAAAATCTTAGGGGAGGTGAGTGGAATTTACTATTTGAATATATAAGGGCAATATTGGAATTTTTTACTCACAGAACATAATGTCAGCATGACGTCATCATATTCTGTCAAATAAATAATCAGAAGATTAACGGTGGGGGATCTTAATAATAGTTTTAAAAGTAAGGGTGATTTCTATAATTATTGAAATTACAGAGGAGGTCCTTATAATTATTAGAAAGCTAAGGGGAGGTGACTATAATTTACCCTGCTTTCTTTTAACTTGAACTATTTTAAAGTTTAAAGAAAATACAATAAGCTCTATAATTTTAACATAATTACATTGAATTCCCACAAAGTTTTAATTCATCTAACTCTCAACTCCATTTTCATCTATAATTTGTTAATCATATAAATAGAAAAATAATATAGTCATTTTTTTTATATTAAAATGTATATATATTTTTTATCCTTACCCTTTTGTACCATCTGCATTAATTTAATTTGTTTAAATAAATATAATTATATTAAAATTATGAGATTTATTGTATTTTCTCTTTTTAACTCTATGAGGAGTTACTAGTGAGTGTAATTTGTTTTTCCTTTTTGTTTTTTTTGTTGGTATTTTTCTTATTTGAATCTAGTGTTCCCGCGCCTATAAATATAGAGTTGGAGTTTCCAGCTTTCACAGCCATTTGAATTTCGCTCTGTTTTTTGTTGCAGAAGCAGAAACAATGGTGAAACGAATGCGAAGCTCCAAATCAATCTGCTGCTGCGCCTCTCCTCGCTTCTCCTTTCTCAATCCTCATTCCACTTTCTCCTGGTTCTCTCTCTCTCACTCTCTCTCTCTCTCTCACTTTCTCTCTCTCTCTCTCTCACACACACACACACACACACTTTCTGATTAAAATCAACTTGAATACGAATATCATTTGAAATTCACTTGACTTTCGCAATTTCTCTATCTCTGTACTTCGAATTTGAGAAAGAGATCAAGTCGAATTTGATAGCTCTCTATCTCTGTACTTCGAATTTGAGAAAGAGATCAAGTCGAATTTGATAGCATTTGAATTTTTGTAGATCAATGTGCTGAAATTTGTTGTAGAGCGAGTTGCTTTTGATCTTAATGTATAGCTTCATTTTCATTTGATCTCCTTGTTGGATTTAAGTATACATTACACAAGGCAGCATTTTCTGAGAAAAATCAACTTGAATACGAAATGCATTTCAAATTCACTTGAATTTCGCAAGCTTCTCTATCTCTGTATCAAGTTGAATTTCATAACATTTGAATTTTTGTAGATCAATGTGCAGAAGTTTGTTGTAGATTGAGTAGCTTTTGATCTTAATGTGGAGCTTCATTTGATCGCCTTGCAGGATTTAAGATATTTTTACTTTAATTTTTGTGAACTTCTCTTTCTCTCTTTACTTAAAATTTGAGCAAAAGATCAAATCGAATTTGATACAATTTGAATTTGTGTTGATCAATATGCGGAAATTTGTTGTGGTGTGAGTTGATTTGATTTGAAATTCACTAGAATTTCGAAAGCTTACTCTCTCTCTCTCTCTCTCTCTCACACACACACACACACACACACAAATCTGAGCAAGAGATCAAGTGGAATATGATAACATTTGAATTCTTGTAGATCAACGTGTAGAAATTTGTTGTAGAGTGAGTGCTTTTGATGTTAATGTAGAGCTTCATTTGATCTCCTTGCTGGATTTAAGATCTTTGCACATTAATTTTGGCTCTGATCTTCAAAAAAATTGGATACATTCTTAATCATTGAAGCTCTGTTAAGTATTGATGTACTGGTTACAACTTCAATGCTGGTTTTCAACTTTGTATCTGCTGATCTTCAACATCGAATCATGAGTAGTATATCGATCTCTGTTTTTTTTTCAATATATGTGAAGCGATGAGCTTGAGTTGAGTTTCTTATAGATCTAATAAAGCGTAGAGTAGCTTATTTGAATTGCTTATTATCTGTTAGAATGCAAAGAAAACAAGGAAAAGTGTGTATAGTTTTTCATCTTAGGCTTTTTGCTGATTTAGCTTCTTATAGATCAAACTACCGGGCTCAACTATGTCATGTAGTATTCTCAGGTTTCGTAATTAAAAATAACTAAATAAATAAATAAATCAGAAATTCAAAGCTTTGACTTATTTTATTTACATAGAAACCAAACAGAACATCTGTGAACAAACCTGCGAGTTTAGTCAGTAGTTGCCTTGAATTTCATTAATCAGAATTTTCACCTTCTCTGTGTTTCTGAATTACGCTTCACTTGAAACTCGAAATTAATGAACTGCCTAAACTAATTTCCAGTGATGATTGAAATTTAGCTTGAATTCCTGCACGAGGTTGAATTTACAAAAGAAATTTCTATAAAATGATACTCACGCTTGTTTTGCTTTATTTCCAGAATTGGCTTTCAATTTGTCGCATATATTGATCTGTGTTTGTCTACTTTGAACACAAAAAGGTACGAGGATGATGTGTGGACTGAAATTGCCAAATACTTGGATGGGAAATCTCTGGTAATGCTCGCAATAACATGCCGGTGGTTTTACCAAATTATCATGGAGGAGAGCATATGGAAGTTTGCCTGTTTGCGAGATCTTCAGGTCCCTGATCCTGGAGGCGTGGCTTTCACATGGATTGAGCTCTATGCTTCAGCTTTCGGTAAAGATTGGAGTTTTTTAACACGTTATTGGTAGTGCAATAAAATTGAACAGAATTGGTTAGTAAATGGCATTCTCATGATCTGATCAAGATGTGATTGATTACTTGCAGATGGAAGTCACTCTTTCATGTTCCGTCAACAGGAGAAACATATCGGTAACTATTTTTGTTTTGGAAATTGATATTCAAACACCACTTTTAACCTCTCACAATCTCTTTGCGAGATGTTAAAAAGATATAATTTCCCTAGTATTTTCCCTCTGAAATTTATTCAGGTACTGGTGGCTTTTGTACCACAATATGCCACCAATTGTGCATTGAGCATAGAGGAAAAGAAAGCACATAATTACCTCTGGGGAGATTTTAGATCAGTTTCTTGTTGATAGATGGCACTTCAGAAGTGTTTATTTATGAAAAAACAAGATGAACAATGAGTGAAATGTGGAATATGCATTGTTCACTTTTGTTTCCCCTACGGAAGATGCATTTTACGCCAATTTTATACCAGTGTTTATTTATTAATCTGAACTAATTTGTAGCATGAGGGGGTGGGCAACTAGTGAGTTTTTTTTTCTATTCGATCTACTTTTTCAATTAAACAACAATGACAGATAAGCACACTCCATGCCCAGATTCATGATTTTTTCTTTTATTATTATTTTTGTTTGTTTGTTTTTTGGGGGTATCAGATTGGATGCGAATTGGAGCATTTTTCTTTGATTCCCCAGTTGCATTCTTGACGGAGAAGCTGATCCCTCCAGTGAAAATTCCACATGAAGAGACCATAGAGAAAATGTTGCAATTGAGCGGCTCTTGCGTGTTGAACAACATTAAAACTGGAATCTGGATAGCAGGTATTTCTAAGTTGATGCTATTACCCGGGCTACTTCTTAGCAAGTATTCAAAGTTTTACAATCACTTATATGGATCCTAACTGCATAATTCTAATTGGATCAGATTTACAGCTTGTTCGATGCCCTGTATGTGACCTCAATACATGCGATGGTGCGTGACAAATTAATGTTCCTTCTTTATAAACATCCACAAGAATTAAAATTCCCTTTAATTAATTTCAGCAGGTAAGATAGTCATAAGGAGCATGATTATGATACACATCCAAGTCCATCAATAGGCCTATGATGGGGAAGGGCATAAAAACAGATGTTGGACGTTGTCCTCGTGTCTTGCTATAGTAACTTGTAGCATTTGGATTGTTCAGTTTTGTTTTCAGAATTTATTTTTTTGAAGAATACTAAAAATTAATTTGGTGAAAATATTTTTGAATTTTTAAAAACTATTTTTGTACAAAAAAGAAAACAAAATGAAAATCGTGAGCCTTTTTTAATATTTTATTATTTTTTCACCAAATTAGTTTTCAAAAATTGTCGATAAATTCTTTTCTATAAGGGGAGGGAAATGTAACTCATTTACTTAAGAAAGTAGTGATGGATCATTAATCCATTGCTTATAAATGAAAGCAAATGAAGCAAGAGGGTATCATACCCTATTTGTAATTTCCTAGTAACTTGTAGATACTAGAATTCAATAGGTTGGTTCTTTTTTGGAGGCCCAATTTCGTTTAGTTGCCAGAAATTTTTGCCGTTTACGTAGCCACAATTTTGTGTTTGTTGAATAGCCATGTATCAATCAGTAATAGCTGTCACTATGGCCAGTATGTTACAATGAAAAGTATTCAGCACTTAAAAATGATAAATTTTCCCTTGTTTTTATGCAGGAACAATGCAGACATTGGATGCGAGGCATATAGAGCTGTTCTTGAGCAAGGGATACCAGGACGAGAGTTGGGATTACAATTTGTTAGGATCTCATGAGATCAAAAAACATGCTGATGGAGCTTCCGGTGGCATTTTTGACATTAAACATATCAGAGATCTCTCAACCTCTGGTAATTTCCGACAAATTTTGAATATTCTGTGGAGTGGTAGAGATTTTCTTTATGTCACAAAATTGCGTTTCTTTTGTTTGGTTTTGCTTTCGGTTTCTGTTATGTGTTTTCATTTTTAGGAAAACACTAGAATCTTGTTGGCAAACTGTTTTTCTGGAAAATTTCTTGAAAAAAAATCTACTTTAAAGCAAGGTGTTTTCCTTTTTTTTTATTTTTTATTTTATTTTTGAAACACAAAAAAACAAAAACATAACCAAACAGACATAATTTCCAGCAATGGTACTTTTTGCCTCACTTCTGTGTCACTCAATATTTGTGAAATTATTAGTTATTTCCGGAGATTGAATGCATGAAATGATCTTCTTCGATTTCCAAATGTATTGGCAGAGGTGTTTGATCTCAAGTCATGGGCGGGGAAACCCAGGGACTGGCAACCAAAAGCCATGATAACTCTTCATGCAGTAGCAGTCAACACCAATTTACAGGAAAATGAAGGTATAGAGCTTATTCAATCCTGACTGTCCCATTTAAATCATTTTTTTTCTTTTTTTTTTGGCATAAATTTCCTTCTTGCTCCTCCTTCTATAGTTCCAAGCGTGATCAATGAATCATTGTAGGATTCTCCGTTCGGATCTTTCTTGTCTCATTTTGCAAAGTCTCTTTTCATCACACAATCAGGTTAGAGAGACTCATCGTGTGGTAAAGAGATACCTTGAGGTGAGACAAGAGAAATCTAATTAGACACAATCAGGTTAGAGAGACTCATCGTGTGGTAAAGAGATACCTTGAGGTGAGACAAGAGAAATCTAATTAGGTTCTAGCCTTGATTGGACATAGAAAGTTACAATTCTTTGGTGTCAACTTATAAGCTTTGAAGTGGATTTTGTTTTTGACATGTTTTGGTCTTTAGTAAAATTTTTAAAAATTATAACAAATATATATTTTTTTTTCCTCTTAAACTTCTTCAAGACTAGATGACTCTAAATTTTTTTAAAATTTTGAAGAAAGTTTACATATGAAAAGTTAGCTTATTTTTATCTTTACTGAATTTAAAAAAAAAAATTAGAATCTTCTTATTTAGAAAGAATTTTAAAATGTATTTATTTTGACTCAAAAGTTGAAAAGGATGAAGTCCAAAACAATGACACTAGTTATAAGTGGCAAAGAGTACAATAGCTTAAATTTTCTTTGAAAGGTTTCGTTTCGAAATTAACTATTTGTTTTATTTATTTATTTTTTGATGCGGAAAGCAGGACTACACATAAAATACCATGCCATGAGAGCTGGAGCTGATGGAGAAGTTGTTTCGATTCGGATCTCTCAGCAGCTCCAGTAATTTGTGCCCAAATTCTGGCCCTCTCTCTCTCTTTTCCACGGTGGGAAATTAGAATTTTCTTTCTTTTTCTTTTGAATTTTGCTATTCAGATCGAATATTAATACTTAACCAAATAAATCAAGTTGGTGTAGTTGCAATCAGTGTAATAACTTCATAATAACCCCTTGCGGAAAAAAATAAAATAAATAAATTCAGCGATTTTTACTTCCTCTTTGCATACGCAGCAGTGCACCTGTATGAATGATCTTAACAGCTATTTGTAGAGTTTTTTTTTACCAAACCCAGGTTTTAAAACAAAATTCTCAAAACTCACATAATTTGAAAATAAAGAAGGTAAAACCCATTTGTACATGCTAATTTGCAAAATGTTCTGGTAATGTTTCAACTTAATTTTCCTGGGCTTGTTTACTTGGCATAAAAATGTGATCACAAGTTGTCCTCTTCCGAAAATTCACAATTTTGTTGGTAACATTGTAATGACCTTCTCTATGTAACTGATACACCACTGTTTCGACTAACAATTTCACAAAAAGAGCTAATAATCAGTAGTAGTGCTGACATACAATTGAAACACATAATTAACTTCAAATATGTTCCAGCCCAGCTGCACCTCCCCCTCTCACATACGAGAGATTGGGGAATTTGATCCTTGCTAGAGGCAAGATTGGGCAACACTAACACCAACCCAATGCAGCTGCCTTACTCCCTTAAGTCTAAGCTAGATATATAAACTATATTTTAAAAAAAATAAAAATAAATAAAAAATAAAAATATCTATAATCTTCAAACAAAATAGCAGAAAATATCAAGATGTAGTGATAATAAGCAATGATACATCCATTATTGTCAAAAGAACGTGAGGGAATGTTTTAGTACAGAGGAACCCCATCGGCTTGCTTCCCCTGGGTTCCCAACATGAACATCAAGGCTTACATAAACTACATGACCAATCAAAAAAGGAGTAAAGAGACTTCAAAATGGACATCACAAGGTACAAATTCACCCACAACAAAAACAAAGTTATCAGAGGGATGTGATATCTCATTTCTTAGCAAGCAGCTTTTTTGGAAGCTTCTCCAAAGGTGTGGTTTTGAGAAGGAAGAGCCTGGCAGCACGCTCTTGCAATGTACCCCCGCATTTCAACCCACGTGATTGCAGCTCTGATTTTAACCTTTCCATACCAAGAACCTAAAAGATCATACCAGAAAAATTCGAAATGTTAGTTGCTGTCAACGCTGCAAAAGTAGACAGCCTGTGTCAGCTTTATAATGGACTACAATAAGACATCATAAATATAAAACTGGCAAGATAATTTTACAAGTGCAATGTGAAATTTTGCAAATTATAACTTTATGCTGTTTCTTTCCCTCTCTATAGGACATTATGAAATCAGAGAGACATGTTATTCAATAAACACGGTTCAAGAACAGACACAGTTTCAACTAACAGGCTATTATCTTCTTCTTTTGCAGAATGCATTGCAATTGACAACTTCATGGAAGAGACCATCAGTCCCTTGGTTGTTTTAAGAAAAAATTTCCCAGTTTAATCCGAAAGCAAGGCAATCAAAACCAATTTACTTCACACATATAAACAGAAAGAAAAGTTGGTCATAATACCTCCAACTCTGCTGCTGAATTAAATTCATCGAAGTCCAGTGGCTTCACCGTATCTGAAACATCAGTGCTCATCACCACAGTTTCTTCATGAACTACAGGTTTGGATTCGGAATCAATGTTGACTTCTGCATCATTTGTTCCACATTCAAAATCTTCCCCCTTTCCAGAGCTAGAAACACTTGGGTGCTGACCCTCTGTTCCCTCCAGATTACCAGACTCAATTTCCCCAGATTCTTGCTTCTCATTCTCAAAGGCTTCTGTCCCCCTGGAGAAAGATATTGCTCCATTCTGTACTATCCTTTCTTCAAGAATCTCCATTGCTGGTTCCCCAGCATCATTGTTTTCACAACCAACCAGACCTCCATCAGAACTTTCACCACTCCTTACAGCAATCTCCTTCTCTTCCTCAGAACCACTCTCAGATGAACCTCCACCAGAAGAGTCTCCATCCAGTTTCCCACCAGTAACAGAATCTGAACTACCCTCCATTTCTTTATTTGAGACTGTACAGTTCCCATTGTCTAAAACAATGGATTTCTCATTTTCCTCCTCTTCATCATCATCACTATCATCCTCGTCCGTATCGTCGCTATCACTGTCACCCACTTTTCTCTTTCCCATCCTAACAAAGATCAACCAATCAGATTATCACAAAAAATGAACAAATCATATGCAAAAAATCTCAGTTATAAAGTTTGCTATAACTATCTCTGATAATATATTGCTACTGACAAAAAAAAAAAAAATATGCTGATAATAGTGCTGTAGTCAATTTTGTCAACTTAACTAAACCAAATAGTTGAATTAGGCATGCTAATGGAGCTTTCCATTTTCATGAAGGGAAGTCTAAGACTCAAATTTTAGGTTGTGTTTGGATTTATTGACTTGAACTAAGGGATTTGGTACTTATTTTTCAAGGAGAATAGCTCACATTTAGGTTTAATAGTATAGATATGTGTCTCAACAGCAAATTTGACCGTTTTACCATGATGGATAAAAAATAATAATATAGAAGTAATAATAAAGACTTGTTCTCCTAATTATAGGACCAAGGAAAACAAAACCACTCTACCAACCTTAATTCACCAATCTTTCTATTGCAGTATTTAAACATTTCTAGTGTTTCAGGCAATTGAAATACGAAAAACATATTTCACCGAAATTTCTTGATAACCAGATAAACATAATGGCCCCATTAACCTTACTAGTATGGCAGAATCAATATTTTAGAAATTTTATCATGTTCCTTCATTCATTTTTCATTTCATTTTTTCCCACAAAATAAACAAACCCCAAGCGTTGGGAGATTTGGCAAGTGATTTGGAAAAAGAAAGTGAAGGAGAAAAGTTCCATGAAACTAAGTGAAAGTGAAATGCAGATATATTTTAATCACATTCCACCTACCTTTTTCTTTTTTACTTCCCAAATCAACGGAGTAAGAGCATCTCCAACCCGTCCACAATTTTTTCATCTAATTTAATTCCAAAGTGCGATTGTAATGGAGAAGAAGCCATTGAGTAAATATCTTGATTTGATATGAACTACTCCAATCCTTTCATCAAAACCCTTTAAAAAATTCCCCTATTATCCCAAATTTCTGATAAAAAAGTCATCTTCTTAAAATTTTATCAAATTCGAATTTGATGAAGGATTTGACAAGTTCTCAATTTGATGAAAAAAAATTACTCTATTGATTTGATAAAAGAAATTAAGGACAACAATGAATTGAAGACGCTTACCATATCTTCAACCTCTTCGGATTCGGATCCGATCCCTTCGCCTTAATCTTCCTCTTCAAATTCACATGACTCCCAATCGCTTCCCTCACCGACTTCTCGTAGATGGAGGCTTAGCCGAATCCTCTCTATACTTGTCAACATACTTCTCCGCCGCATCCCCCCCCTTCCCTCCTCCACCCTTCTTCGCCGCCACTTTCTCCTTCTTCTTTATAAACTCCTCTGCAACCTTCTCCAGCCTCCGCTCCTCCGCCTCCGCCCTCCACTCCTCCAGCTTCTTCTCGGCGTTCACGTGGCGGAGCCGCCGCCCGCTCATGTCCCTGCAAGCATCGAAGTTGTTGGTCTTCTTCTGGCCGGCCTTGGTGGCGGCGCCGCGGAGGAGGGAGCCGAAGCCGCCCTTGCCGCCGCGGAGGCGGAGGAGGAGGTGGAGAACTGGGTGGGAGGAGGACCCATTGAGGAGGAGGAGGGAGGAGGAGTCTTGGAGTTGTTTGGTGCCTGTTAGGAGTCGCTGGTGGTGGATTGGGATGTTGGTGATTTCGCGAATTCGAGACTTGATGGAGAGGATTGGGATTGATGGAGATGTGAAATTTAGGGCTTTGTGTTTTCCATTTAAGAGTTTGACGTACACTTGGTATGTTTCCTCCATGATCGATCAATCGATCGATTCAAGCTCTCTCTCTCTCTCTCTCTGTGATCGAATCGAAACAGAGGAGGAATTGAAAAGGGGTATCACGGTTTCTTTCCTCTGTTTATATATGCCCTAGAATATTGTATGTGGGGCAGGTGAGCAGTGAGCACTTTGATCGGGTTTGGGTTTTCAAGACTACCCGGTCAGGATTCGGGTTTGGGTTTGAGTGTTTGGGAGAGATGATTGGATTACCATGTGGGACCTGAATGGGAAAAGATGATTGGATTACCTAGCATGTGTAACCTACTAATTCGTGATTGCAATAATGATAGATACCATTAATTTTAAAATTTTAAAAAGTTCATTAATGACATGATACTTAATAAAAAAAAGAATTATGTTAGGGAGTCCAAACAAATTATCAATTTTTCTACCAAATCTCTCACATGGGTGTGGGACCCACACACATTTGATTTGTGTGGATTCCACACCCATGTGAGAGGTTTGGTAGAAAATTTGATAATTTGTTTGGGATCCATAGCATTTTGCAAGAAAAAAAATACGACACTAAGGTCAAAACCTCAAATCATTTATGGTGGAGCCCAGTGCCACATCATTAGTGGTAGCACTAATTAGTGTTCTCACTCATTTTCCTTCATGTTTGTATGTAATAAAATCTCATGAGATTAAACACTTTTATGCTAATATGAATCCTCCCCTACAGGTGGTGTTTGACAAGTGGTTTTGGAGCTAAAATAGTCAAAAAAACAAAATAGGCTATTTTAACCATAACAAATAAAACATCACATCTAATTCATAATCATTATACTCTTTTCTCACAAAAAAAAGTCAAAAAAGTGAAAAAGTCAAAAAATCTTTCCGAAATCAAGCTTTTTAGTCCAGATTAAAATAGTCAAAAAAACCAAAAAACTAACCCACTTCTCAAACGGAGGCACAGTGGCATGAGCATTTTCATGAGAGAGTTGGGATGGTTAATCCCCTTTACACAAATTGATGGTAAATTATCGTTTTACTCTCCCCTCTATAAAATCAATAAAATTATCTTATATGTGAGAAGAGTTTTTAAGTAATTTTATAGATTTAATTATAATTAATTAATATCACCACATTAGTATATAAACAAATATATTTTATTTTATATCTCCAACTTTAATACTACAACATTAATAATCCCTTCATTCATCAGTCTCATCGTATTCATAAATCCCATCAAACTTAATCCGTCAAGTAA